GGGTCGCAGAATGGAGGGATCTCTGTGACAGCAAGGAAAGGCAACTGAGCTTGGAATTGAGCAAAGCCAAAAGGAAATACAGCACAGAAATGAATTGCTTCCGGTTGATGTTGCAGTCAATGTATATAACGATAGACGTATGTTGATAGCATAGTTTTAGGCGCAAGAGATTAACATTATCATCGAGCTAATGCTGCCCTGTAGGGAAACGCACTAGCGCCGAACTGGTTCAGTTCTAGAAAATGTAAAGCCATGACTAAGTCGGGTTTATTCTGTTTTGCATGCTAGCCACTGGCGAACTTAACATTGAGATATTCTACTCGAAGTGTCAATTGCCCCCCGCTGGATGCCTTTTTCGCTTGTTCCGAACCAGTTCTAAATTCGAAAAATGAGATCTAGCTCGCTCTGTATGTGTAATTTTTTTTCGAGAAAGTATCACATTTTTCTGCTTTTGGCCTGCTCATGATGTAGTTACTAATCGACTGGTTCGTTTTTGATGATCAAGAATTATTACTGAACTAGGTACTTGATTCACTAGTGCGGGGTTTTCTCTGCAGGGAGCTAACCATGCAGCAATAAGGCTTCCAATTTTTCCAAAATCGTTTGACTAGGCCTTTATTCAAACCGAACATATCGAGCCCTAACCGCCAAAAAGACGTAAGCGTCATTTTTTTCAACATTTTATTTTTGATGCAGAAATGCATTTGGTTGCGCTAGGAACATTTCTGCATAAAAAAGAAATTTTTTGAAAAAATGTCGCTTACGACTTTTTGGCGGTTAGGGCTCGATATGAAAACATATTTACATATTGTGGCTGTAGCTGAAAGTGGTACTATTTGTTAGCTTCCAGGAGGGCCCGGGTCCGAATGCGGTCAGACACAACATAATATTTTTGATTTTTTTTTTTATTAATTACGAAAAAAAGACATCTGTGAAGTGCAGAAAGAAATCGTGTTCCAACGAAACAAATCTCCAAAAGTAAAATTGTCTAGTTCAAAGCCAGATAATAAAGTATAATTAACCAGAATAAGACTATCTTATGGTAAGTTGTTGAGTGGACCGGTCTTTTTACAATGACACGCCAATGTTAAAAGTGACCAGTTAAAACCATTGGCTGCGGCATTATGAGGGACTAGTACTGGTAACAATAGGGACAATCCGAGGGCGAACCTAGGGTCAGTCCGAATTGCTGCAGGGAATTTACCCATCTCCTTAAATAAAAAAAAAACACACACACACACCTAATTCACAATGACTTAATGCTTTTGCAGGAATACAAAATTCGCATTGCCACAATGAGCGACGAATATGATCGTCAATTCAACGAAATTAACGACAAAAACATAAAGTTGCAAAGTGATATCGATAAGATGGCGGTACAACGGAAGTTTTTGGAAGCAGAAATGGAGTATATGAAAGTAAGAGTTCGAGATATATTGGCGGGTGTTGAAAGCGATAAAGTAAAGAAGGGGAAACGTGTGCCAAGACAGCCTTCGCAAATTTCCCTTTCACAAAAGTCCAGGTCCAGCGTCTTGAGCTTCCGGAAAAATATCCCCAGTCTAATTAAGAAAAAAACAGGACAATGAATTGCTGAAGGGTATGGCAGCATGATTAAAGAATGGGAAATGTTTTTGAAATAAATTCCAAAATATAAATTTTAAACTGTATGTGTGCATTTGTTTTTAGAATACGTGAATGGGTTTATCTTAGAGAGCTTGGTGCGTTTTGCACCGCCACGCTCAAAATCCCTAACTTAGAGCTTTATTTAGATAAGATACGGACACGGTGAGAGTAAATGGTCTTTCTGATCGGCACTGGCTTAGCCTCGGTACTTTAATGAGAGCCTTTAAGTTGTACGTGTCCACATCAAAGCTATAGAAAGCAAGGTAAGGATTATTCCCCGTTATACAGACATATCTACATATGTAAATATTTATTGTATGTACGCGATATAGGTAAAAATTACAGAAAGCTTTAAAAGCACAACATGCCTCAGAAATGGTAAGCTTTAGCTTAGGTAAGAATTGGGAACTTCCAACTTTTTAAGCTTCCATTTCATTTCACGTAGAGTGAAAGCACACTCCGAGCGGCGGTTTTTTAAATACAGACGTATCCTTAAACTTTAGCTCGCGAGCGGGCTACCGAAAACGGCTACTCAGTCCGTGACCCAAATAAAACGAAGCGAACGAATCAAATTTGACAAGGGATGACGGAAAATCGTTCCACAATACATCATAAAACGATGCCATTTTTGTTTGCAACCAGTTATAACGTATCGAAATATCGTTGCTCCAAATGCTCTACTTCGAAATCATCTAAATCTGTCATCTTCCCTTCATCGCCATTTGAGTACTGCAAAAGCTTACGTTGCATCTGTACGTTAGCTGGTGGTTTAAAATTCTGTCAATTTCAGTACGATTTCTCATCTAAAAGATATGTAGTTGAAGCATAGCGGCGGGTGTTTTTTTTCTCTTCCAAGCAGGATTTTAAGTGTTTTCATACTCGAATATCGGTCTCGGGCATGCGGTTGCATCCAATGCATGGTCAACTAATGACTATAAAAGACACGGTTTAAATGACCACTGGTTCGTAGCTTTCTATTTATATTTTCCTATAAGTAACCTTGATTCGTACCTACGAAATATGCAGATGGATTATTTGCAGGAAAATTCGATAAACAAGCTTTCACTTTGAAGCACGTTCAAGCAAATCCGAGCGAGTTTGTACATGTGTCCGACTATTGCACTGTGAAATAATTGAACGGAAATTAAACCCAACTTAGGAACTTTTGAATGAATTGTTTCAAAGTTTTCATTTAAGACATTTCGAAGGGTGTACACTCGTTTAACGTCGCTGAAATTATTTAGATAATATCCTTTTTCTGATTTTGTCTGCTTTGTCCTTTATTTGACTTCGACGAGATTCGTAAAAAAGCAATATCGCCATTATGAATATAGGATCGGTGGGTGAAGTAAAATTCTTGCGAGATGTGAGGATGGAAACCAAATCAGCTCGAATTGTCGACGAGCTGCTGCTCAAAGACTTTGAACAGGGTCAGAAAATGGCAGAGGTTTTTGAGGAGACCAGTTCAGAAGACACGCTTTCCTTGAGCAAGAAAGTAACCAAATGGTCCGTTGGCCAATTAAGGCCAACCACTGAAAAGGATTTTAAATATATACGGGATTTGGCTATTAAACAATTGGAAATTGATATACTACACAAGATGGAACTTCTTTATCGATCTTTTGTCTGTAAGAATACTAGACATCTCAAGGAACCGTTGCCATTCAAGGTATTCAGCTGGTCGGCTAGGGAATTCGAGCAGCGAAATAAAGTTAACAGTAATGCCGGGATTGATGTGCTAATGAAGAAAGTGTCGAACGTTTGTTTGGAAGTACGAAAGTTGCAGGTGGACATAGAAGAATGTGTACGCATAATAACGACGCTGTTCGCCAGCGTACAGGCAGGAAAGCTTATGGAGAATGAAATGTTAAAGTAAGTACTCGTTTATACATACATATCGTTTTACCTTAATATAGAAAGGCACGAAGTCATTTACTTCTCAAATCCAATATTTTACAAAAGTCTACCGATAAATCACTACTGGATTTTTTTATCTACTACAACATAAAATTATTTATAGTCTTCAAAAGAAATTCGCAACAAAAGGACTTGATTTTGTATGGAGTTTTTTCATTACTCCGTAGCGCAACAGAATTTTTAGATTTGCCAAATCCTATACTTAGGATGATATGTATGTATACATATTTAAATCAAAAGTACATTCGTATTACCCATTCCTTATCAGAGTTGGCACATTCTCTGTCCCTCAGGACCTGTTTGTGAGTAAATATAAAAATACAAGAAAATTTATTACAGGGATATACAGAAACTGCTGACTATAGAAAATACCGTTGAGGATGAGTTGGCTGAAAATAAGGCGAAGTTGCAACAGCTGATCAGCGATTGGCTGCTGAATAGGACTGCTAAAAATAAAGAAAAGGCAAATAAGGAATATCAGACGGAGATTGAGAAACAGCTAATGGAGGCTCATGGTGAGTAACCCAATTTAGTTTAGTTCTGATATAGAAATGTACCTACTATTCCAAATACTATTCAAAATATAAAATTCTTTAGTGTTGGATCCGATTAAGATACGCTACGAAATAAACTACTATCAAATGAATGCGACACAAGCTGAATTGAAGGCTGAACGGGAATTGAAAAAATACACAGATAAGATCGAAGAAGTTCGGAGGGCAATGCGGAGGGAATCTTATACCTCGCAGTGTTCCCTAAACTCGTACTATTCGGACACTGAGGCAAGCACTCAATGTGGCAACTTCATCAGAAACCGTAGAATTTTTCTAAATGGATAAAAAATAATATTTTGTATAGTGTTTCCATTTCGCAGAAATGGTATAGAATTCTTGAAAATCAGTTTTTTTCGATCGGAAAATTTGGTTTCTCTTTAGGAGACCGCCAATAACAAAACCCAGTTGCTTAACCATTTCTTAGTATCAACTATTTTTTATAGGTTGTACAAAAACCTCAAAAACTGCAATATGGGGGGGGGGGCACTCAAATTTTACAGGAGAGCAAAAACGGTTTATTCTTTGAAGGCGTTGCCTTGATAGGCGGTATTTTCTCTAGCTATTATTTTACAAATCTGTTGTTTCAATAACGATTTAACGATTTTTATGCATAAATCTCGATGCCTGGAGTTCAGGGTTATCAAAACTCTTTTTTGACACAATGGCGATTTAGGCGGTTTTGCAAAAACATTGACGAATTAGATTTTATTTCTGGAAGTCTCCTAAAGGGAAACATAATTTTCCAATCGAAGAATATTTATTTTCAAGAATTCTATACAATTTCTACGAAAAAGTGTTTTCCCCCAAAAAAAAAAAACGGTTATTCTTATTTCCCATTTAGTAAAATCCCAGAGGATGGGAACTTAACATTTTAAACTTTTTTTTTTACCACCCTAATGAACATATGTACATTAGACCTTGTTGTGATATGTATATGGAATAGAAATAAGGATTAATAGCCTTATTCATAAAAAACAAAGTATGTAGCTTCAAAAGCGTCTACAAATTGAAAAAATTTTTGAAAACGTCAATCTATAAAGCTTTTAAACCTACTTTATTTTTTATGAATAAGGCCATAAGTCTTATGTAAGTACTTATACATTGAATGATTTATTGCAGAAATATAAAACTCGCTTGCTAGAAATGACCAACAAATACAATAAGACATATGATGAGTACGAGAATCGCAACCAATACATGCGTACTACGATGGAGACTATACGCAATCAGAGAAAATTTTTGACGGAACAAATTGAACGTTTTCATGAGGAGATCGATCGAGTTCTAAAGCCGAAAGCGTTAGAGGAACCGGTAAGTGAGATGGGGGTAGAGAACAGTACCATGGAAGGGTAACGAAAAACATTTTAAAGCATTAGGGGCCTTCACACCTTTCGTGTTGTCGAAAGATCTTTAAAAACAAAATTTACATAAAACTGCTAACCAACGCAGCAACGAGCCTATTATTTATCTAATTATTGCCGCTAAACCCAAACGCAATATCGAAAAGTAATGACAGAAGCAGTCGCACTATGCATGCAATGCGATATTCGAAAATACTTTTTTTTCGGAATTTGACTAAACGAACATTTGCGGCTAGTTGTTTTCTTAAAAGAATAATTTTACGTTCAAATTGAGCTTTTTGTAAAATACAATCGTTCACATTGGACACTTGGAGTTAATTTTGACGGTTGTTTGATTTCAAAAATAAAAAAAATATTCAAAATAAATTGTTTGTGTTTCAATTTGTTTTGTGCGTACATACAGTCCATCAATAAAGTTTAGGTACATCCATTTTTCTGCAATACGGGCAACTGTTTTTTAATTCTTTTAGTTTGCGCAAATTTTTTAAAGAATATGGTTAATTCTACGACTAAGACCCCAAAAATCCGAGCTGCAAACCTTTTGCAAAATTAAAGAAAATTCTGCAAATTTCCATCAAAATGTTACACTTTTAGCCCATTCAATTCTAATATAATAAAGTGCAAGTCTGAGACAGCTAGGACTTACCAATGATTTGCGGCAACAAAAAAATGTCTCAAAAGTCATTGGTATCTAAGTCCTAGCTACCTCAGACTTGCACTTTGTTATATTAAAATTCAATGGGCTAAAAACTGCATACTCAACTCTTTTCAAAAGAGTGTAATATTTTAATGAAAACTTGCAGTATTTTCTTCAATTTTGCACAAGGTTTGGAGCTCTGATTTTTGGGGTTTATGTTGTAGAGTTAAACATATTTTTATAAAAAATTTTCGAAAAATAAAATAATTAAAAACAGTTTCCCTTATTGCAAACGAAAATCGCTGTACATAAACTTTATTGAATGACTGTATGTCTGCTTCATATGATACATATTAATGCGTACGGTCTACTTTGAGACTTCAAACGTTTAGTTCCAAATGAACTTTTCTCTCAAAGCTTACACTGCTAGCAAATGTAAATAAGGATTAAAATTTAATAAATAATTAATACAACCAAAACCAAAAATCTCTGGAAAATTAACAATAAAATACTTTTTTTCGCAAAATCTATAAAGCACCCTTTTATTTCTCAAAAAAACCGGGGTAACAGTTATTCGTCGCCACGCTGTACAATGATTTTATTTTTTGAGTTTAATCAATAAAGATTAGAAAAAATATTTAATATTTGAGTTTTATTTTTTCGCTCAATGGAAATTATTACTTGGTTTTTAATTTTTCGATCACAAATAATGATTATTTTATGGTTTTTATTTATTAGCTCAAAGATAATAAGTATTTTTGAGTTTTTATTTTTTCACTTAAGAATAATGATCATTCAAAAAACTTAAAAGCTATACCAACGTGATTTCTGACGCATCCTTTTCGTAGATAGCGACACTCTAATAAAAAGAATAATTACCAAACCTGTCTGGTTAAAATTTCAGTAGGTTGCGTCTGCATAGCCTTTTCAATTTTATAAATAATCATTATTTTTAAGTGGAAAAATAAAACCTAAAAATAATGATTAAGTTCTGATTTAAATTATTTTACTCATAATGATTAACATCCCTGTTATAATCACAGTAGATAACTAAATATTTTTTCAGGTAATTCAAAGTGCGCCGGCACCCAAGAAAAAGAAGGGACAGAAAAGAAAGAAAAAATCATGAAGCAATGAAGGCGGCTAATGCATATACATATATACTTACATATTACATATGCGCATGCATAACGGTATACAAATGTCGTATCAGTTTTTCAAATATGCTTATGTAGTATTCATGTACGTATATCTATTTTTATAATTTACAATGTAAAACAATGCGCTTTTATAAAACATTACGTGTTTTCCTTTCAACAAATTATATACAGCGGTTTATTCACGTTTCTTCTCGCGCATATCCTACATATAAATAAAACTTAATATAGCTTATAACTATGTAGCTGTTTCCCGCATACACGTTGTGATTAGATTTGCAAAATAAAAAATCATATTGCAAACAAAATTTTTCTTAGTTGTGTCAAAATTCATCTGGAGCCCTAACCACAAGCGTTGAAAAAATGTTTTTTTTTACGCAGAAATTCTCTTAGATCATCAAGAAATCTGAGAAAAATAACCGTAAGCATAGGTGACATGTAACTGAGAGAAATATGCAGTTTTAAAGTGGTCCACTCCATGCAACCATTTTAACCTCAACAATTACAACTTGTAAAAGTTTATTACCAGTGTCCACCAGTAGGTGGAGGAATGAAAAACAACTCCAGACACTTGTCCTTCACTTGCAGCTCTTTCCAATTGGCCTTTAAGACGTTGACGCCCGATAGGAAAGATATCAAGGATATCTGGTTTGCCGACTCCCAGTCTAATTTTATCAATGACACCACCCACCCTACTCCTAAAAATAAAGCAATTTTTTTTTGCAAGTTTTAAGAACATTTTTAAATTTTTAGTAGTGAAAGTTTTACTTTTTAAATTTGAAGAAATGTTTGTTCTGCATTCGCTGGCGACAACAAGACAAAATGGGTGAGAATCGTTGGCCTACAGAAATTCAATGTGGGCTAAAAAGACGAAATTCCCTTAAATGCTGCATAGTTGTGTTTGTCGACATTCGTGGATACCCATTGATTCTGCCAAGTCGCTGTAAAGTAAAGCGCGCAATGGTTCTGGTAAATGAGTCAACGAAGATATTTAGTTATTGACCTACACAACACAATCCTGGTGTATCCGATTGAGACTTTGACGCAGTATAATATTAGAAAACCTCGTCCATGGAGCCAATCGTTACACACGACAGCTGTAGATCACGTTCCCTCTCTCCGTCGTTCAGCAGCTGCGTTTCCTTTTTATTCTTCCTGTCGTCCGGCACGAATCGCAAATGTTTAATATTCTGACGACGGCATAATCTCCCCGCAACACTAAAAGTTCAACATCATAGAATTCGAATTACCTTATTCGAAGCAATCGAGCCGTATCCGCGAAAGAAACGTAAGCTCCAAATGTTTTAATCCGGCGTTTTTTTAATCAAGATTCCATAATTCTTCCACAAACAAATAGCTTCTTCATATCCATTAACTCTAAATGGTACCGCTAAGAATTTATGGTTTGGCAGACAAACCCAATAAAAAAAAAGCTCAAAGTGGACCATCCATTCTTGAGTTATGCGCCGTCTGACGTTCGCCACTTTGGTTATACATATAAATATTTATTATTAATAACAATCAAGGGTTATATTCGATGTAAATAAGCTGATTTAAATTAAATAGTTGGATCAAATTCGTTTTTGTTTGAAAATACCACCATGCACCATTAGCCACACCTTTTGTGGAATTTAGTTACCATTTGGGAAGTAAGAATGAATTGTTTCCCTTTTCTCCTGCTTCCAAAAACCATCCCTGTGGGTGGGAGTGTAAAATTTTAGAAAAAAACCTACTTACAAAACCTTTAGATAATAATTGAATAATGACATATGTACATATATCCATAGTTGCGTGTGTAACGTATACGCACCGTAGCACCGTACGCAGTCATTTAACACGTTTAACTTAAAAGTCATATTATTTAAAAGTAATTACATATTGGCATTGAAGATTTTTGCACAGTATTCCTTATCCACATATACTTTCCTCATGTTTATAACAATTTTAGAATGAATTTCGTGTGTGCCAATAAAATTTGTAAAAAAGGAATTTTGTTTCTCAAATCACAGTCATCACTCCATTGATTGAAATAAATGCAAAATGAATGCTTTATCATTTTGTTTGCCGAGAGAAGTGAGTGACACTAAAAAAAAAATAACTGGTGAGATTTCCTCATATACTTATCACTACCATTATCGTTGTCCTTGTCTATATTATTGCTTTTGCTTTGTCTCTCCTCCGCCTTAGGGGCGTTTAACGCAGGCCTTTGCTCTCTGTCCACGCATTCGCCATATCGGCCCCTTTCGCGCAAAATTATCGCATGTTAAATTTTTTTTGGAAATTCACTTTTTGATGCAAGTTTGTTTTACAACCCATAACGCATCACCTGTTCAAATATAATGGCTTGAATCTCAATAGCTACCCCAACAATTTAATTTAAAGTTCATCGTATGTGTCAATGAGTTTTTCCTGGTGGGCGAAATTATCACATGAGAATTAGAATGTAGAGAACTTTCAACCAAAAAATCTTGCGTTTAGTTACATATGTTTCTCAATTATCTTAGCAAATCCAAACTTTAGTATTGATGGTGCTAGCCAAAGCAGAGAAAAATGCAACAAACAATTTCCAGTAAAATTGGTTTTTATTTTTTTTTAAATACGATTGTTTTGCGCAAAGGGGTCGATATACCCATACTACTTTCACCGTGGCGTTAAATATTTAACGCAAAAATCTCGACTAAGCAGTTTCACGCAATAAGCGGTGTGAATAAAAACTAAGCGATTGCTTTTTCTTAAAATTTCAGACCTTTTCGTCCACTTATTCAAATTAATTTAAGTAAACGATCTGACATTTTAAGAAAAAGCAATTGCTTATGCTGGATGACCCAATGAAAGATGCAAGCCGGTCAAGCCAAAAGACTTCCGACATACCCATGCTATAATTAATGGGTCGATTATGGATAGTAACGCGACCTCAGTTGCCACTAAAATGAAAATCTATATTATAAATAGCAATAGTTGCTAGTTTAGTCTAGTTTAGTGCTAATAAGTGCCTAAAGGCAACAGAATTTTGAAGTACCAGCAGCCAAGGCTTGAGAGTCAATGGGCTACGGACACAGTTAATAAAATACGAAACTGAAGATTTATTAAGTCTTCCCTTTTAAACGGATAGAAAAACCTTCCAAGTGCTAGAATAAGTTACAGTTCCTACTATGAACGAGGGTACCACGTGTATGGAATAGCCGCAATTTTCGCAGGGATGCGACCCTTCATTATACTCCTTCTGAAGATGTTGGATTTTAATGTCTATACTAATTTGCTAAGACATTCAAGCGAGTCGCTTCAATGGAAATACCTTCATATGTCGACACCAATTTTGCACTAAACATACATATCTACGTATGTACATATTTATGTAACTGCTTCAACGCCTCTGGCGTCTGCTTTCAATCTGAAATACAAACAACTTTAGACACATGAGGACTTTTAAAGGACGACCTTTGCTCTCGCTAAGTTGTCATTCATTTTCTATACTTTGCCACAAATGTAAACATTGCATCCCTCTCCGCGCCTTTATCAAGGCACAGCACGAGCAATTACTTGCCGCCTAACAGCAATCGTAGCAATGTTGCACATGCAACCGAATGAATTGAATGGAGTGCATTGCTGAGCGCCAACTCACCACACAACTTTGCTGCAACACCAAAGGCCCTTCACAGTACGCGCCAGTACTTCATCGCCCCCTAGGCAGCACACATCTTTACTGTATTTTGCTGGCCTGGCATACCTGGTGGCATTGTGAAGGGCTTGTCTGCATTTACTGGCCGCGCGAACGAACATTATTGCCTTTCAATGGCGCAGACAGTGGCATGCAACTTATGGGTGTATGAAGAACATGCCTTCATTCTTCATAAACGAATGTGCGCATACATACATACATACATACTCATTTATATGAATGTTAATAAATGCATCGAGCCAGTTGCAGAGGCCACGTACACTGAGCAGACATGCCAGCAGTGTTAGTGGCAGCAGCAGCAGCAGCAGAAACAGCGGAGGGACATAAAATGCAGAACAGCGCAAAGCGAATTGGCGGGCTGGCGAACAAAAAAAAACAAAAAATACTGCGTGCAGCAGTTGCCACAATCAGCCGCCAGTCGCATTGGTTGGGCCACAACCGTCTGTCGCTTTTGCTTTTTACTGTCGCTTATGCCATTGCCACTGCCTTTGGTCTTGTTGCCACCGTTTTTTGTTTTTGTTGTGCTGTCTGCAATGTTGTTGTTCGCTTGCTGGCTGGCTGGCTGACTGTCTAGCTGACTAACTGAGTGACTGGCTGGTCGCTTGCCACTGGCACGGCTGATGTGTCGCTGGCGTTGGCCTCAGCCGTTCTGGTATCCTGTTTGAATTTCTAATCGCTGAAACCTTCCACCCTATCGATGCCGTAGGCGCTTTATAGGGCTACCGCAAATTATGGCGACGCGTCTAAATCGAATACAGTGCGGTTGATGGTGTGTGCACGTAGGGCAGACAGCACAACCAAGTCCCTAATTTAGCGCAACACGTTGTTAGCTGAAAATATTTTCAACCCGAAAAACAAGCTCACTCACTCACTCACTCACTCGCTCATGTACGCGCAAGTAATCTGGGCGAACTGGATGAATCAGGTAACCACAAGTCAGCAAGCTGAGCGCGCTGACGAGTATACAGACAAAGTCATTTTCTCGAAGTAAGTAACGAGCCAGCTGCAGGTACATATATAGGTTGTAGGGAAGGGATGTTGCATGGGAGGCCACATCACAGCGCCTACCGAAGCGAAGGGCGAGTGGCAGCGGCGGTGTAAGGGCTCCTCTAGCTATGCTACAAGTGTCAGATGGTGCTGCTTTATTGCGCCACACTGTTTATGCTACTACACATTTCCAACAATCTACTTCGCACTCCGATTTTAATTCTTGCCCTTTTCACTGTCTACCTGTTGTACGTTTCCCTCTAAACTCTTGGCGGTGCAAAGCAAAGAGAAATTTTTACCCAAAGCTCTATCTTCTCAGA